CGTGGTCAGCGCAACGAATTCCCACGGCCGTCAATTTCTTTCAAATAGCTCCTCAATTATCCTCACGAGGCTGAGTGAATCCCGTTCCAGACCCACTTCTCAGAAAATCTGGTAGCGCCGGGAATTTAACCCGGGACCTCTGGATCTGTAGGCAGGAACTCTGACCACTAGACCACAGAGGCGGTCTACTTTCTTGAATCACGGATATAAATATGACATTTTTCTTATATTTAACTCTCCTACTCTAACCACCTCTTTTAGCCTAGGTTATGTAATAAAGGACAGTTTCCTTTGATTAGGAGTGAGCATGTTTCATAAAATTTATAATTTAAATTTCGGATCTACACATATTTCAGACCCTCAAAACGGGAGTGCTATTTTAAACCCTATCTTCTGCCAAGATTATTTTTGTTCATGAATGCGGCCACAGCAGGCTTTTGTTTAGGTGTCTGCTGTTCTGTTGATTCGTACTGTTAATGCATATGTACTCTGAAGGTTTCTAATAAAGCAAAACTGATTATTTACAGAGACAAATTCCCCCATCACCTATGGAATTATTTTCACTCTACGATAAAGCGATTTTAGCAACACTGCTTAAAGCAATTCAAGATGGATCATACTTATTAGTATCAAAACACGACTGTAATTTGTTGTACACGTATTAGGACAATATGTACGGCTGGTTCGCCTTTTCTTTCCATTCGTTTGAAAGTTAGATTGATAAATAAGGAAGAATTTATACTCGTATAAACGAACTGCAGACCTGAATAGTTCATTCCTCATGTGGAAGTAATGCATTCTACTAAAGTAGAGACTTGTTTGAGGCTTTCAGGAGCAGACTACGAGTAATTACACGCGAAAAATACGAAACTGTGTGACTTCAAGTTCATGAGAAATCGTTATGACGAACCTGAGATATGAAGAGATTAGGAAATTCATAAATAAAGTGATCCATTGGTACAGGGGCTTTTCTGTGAAGAACCCAACGTGGTACCATGCAGTTGCGCGCTACTGCACAAATTTCAGCCAACTAACTTTGTGTCTCATAATGCGATAATTTTGGACTGTATGAAGCACAGTGCACGAAGGAATTACAGATAATCACATCTACCAAGGAGAACCAACATAAACATCACTCTCGGATATAGTAGTGCGAAATGAATTTATTGGCCAAAATCACATGCAGAAACACAGTCAAGATCTGATTTTTAGGCGATGACATCAAATGCAAGTTTACTGTTAAAACAGGCGAGAACAGGAAAGTAAACATATCAACTTACACAGTTATTGTTCTTAATAATATCGGTTATATTTAATTTAACAATCTGCATTAAAACTGAGATAAACGTTTGAGCTTCTAAGAGCATGATCCATCCTTCATGAAAACTTAGTCTATCACAGTTAACCACATTACTACAAACTAAACACATCTAACCAGCAAAGCATTTTTGTTGGAGATATTAAGCTTGTCAGATAATTTATTCAAGACTTACATCAATAATTTAGTACACAGAACCTGACCCATCCCATCAGACTCGTTTCAAAACTTTGTATCTAAACTTCTTTCTGTGTCAAGCACTAAGTCCTGTGCATACGAAGAATGAATATGAGATCCACTATTCATAATCTCTGCACTCACGAGACGGTTGTAACCGGAAGCCCTCGGCTGCATTACTCCAGCAGAAAAAAAGCCGGAATTGCCCACTCGGTATAGCAACTGGTTACGGGCTGGACGACCGAGGAATCGAAGTTCGAGTCCTGGTGGGGACAAGAATTTTCACTTCTCCATGTCGTCCATAACGGCTCTGGGGTCCACCCAACCTTCTGTCCAATGGGTACTGGGGGGCTCTTTCCCCGGAGGAAAAGCGGCAGGTGAGTGAAGCTGACCACTCACCTCCAGCTAGTGCAGAAGTCAAGAAAATGTGGATCTATACATCCACTACCTCTTACACCCTCATGGCGTAGTGCTTAATTAGTTAAGCACAGGGACAACTTTACCTTTACTTGTTTGTTATGAGTTTGGGGCAACCCCAACAGCTGCGGTGAAGCGCAACATACCTGCCCCTCCGGAAATGGAATCCCGCGCCTGCGCCTAATAGGCAATCGCTTTAACACTGGACTGCATCTTCTCTTATGCCTTAAATGACTTACTGTATTAGTCGAATGGATGATAACTGAGGGAAAATGTTGCTTTCCTTAGATAATCTCATGGATCTGGTGCAGAACTGTTTATTTACATGACTACAGTTATGTGCGAAGTATTTTTATCACTTAAGGAGATGAGCTGTTTCAAATCCCAAAACCAGTCCCCACCCGGTCAAAGGACACTCACGGATCGCTGTCTATTTGAATTCCACAAGGAAAATGTGTACTTGACAGCGCTTTCCTGTATTGTCTGGCGACACGGGAGGTCTAACAGTCATTTGGTTCTCCATTCATGGAGTCTTGAGCTCACAGCATTCTTAAATAGTCACATAACACAGTTCCAGTATTCAAAGCATTCAATTCTAATCTAAAATATTTCATTTTCTTCAATATTTTCTACGATATAGTTAAAAAAATATGTATGCTTTCTTATAAAGTCCACTATCAAAAACATCACATATGGCTAACGAATTTAGCAGGGATTCAATACGAAATTTTGCAATCATTTGTTTATTAAAGTGGTTATATTACTCGCGTGTGGACGCCAATAAGTGCTCACTCATTGCTTTAAAGAGCACCTGAAATGAATTAACTATATTAAATATGCCACCTATTTGGTGAGATTTTCGTGGGAACCGGCTTGTCCCTTGGCGAAATGAAGATGTGCGGTGAGGAAACTTCACTGAAGTACGTGGAAACTTGGGACAGTGACGTCAGCCTCCAAGGCTACCGCTGCAATTACTGATTGCGTAATTCGTCCAGTGTGTATTGCAAGGTACATATCTCATCGCAAATCACAGTCTCCATACAGCTGTTCATCTCGCACTCAAGGGTAAATATTTGTCACTTTCTCATGGAGAGATGACTGCTCAAACTGGAGATGTTATGAAAACTGATTATGTACTTAAAAGTTTTTGCGAAATGCATATTAAGTGTACCATGAACATTTTCCGTAAAGTTTACAGGTCTCCCCGTGTCCTATTCATCGTCGCTTTCTTCTTTCCTTTAACCCTTCTTTTCTTCTTCCTCCTTCTACATCTCCTTCTCTTGGTTTTCCTCTTGGCCCTATACAGTTTTTCGACCCACGACTTCCTCTGCTGTAGTTGTTCCCCAAATCCTTACCGAAACAAACATTCGGACTCAGGCAAACGTAAATGTGTGCGCCCAGGGGTATTCTACGCTTCTGAGCTTGTCTAAGACCGTGCGCGCCTAGTCCACCGCGCACCAAAAGAAACATGCAAGTATAGTGGACTGAAAATCTCTAAGCTCCAGCCCCGATCGAACTACGGCCATACATGTATATGAAAGTATAGATTTCAAACACAATCAAATTTAAGTTTACGGTCATACAGCTAGAAGTCATCCGAATTACAATTCAAGACTAATCTTCTTTTCGGTTTGCATTTCGCTATTAATTAATTATTTATTCATAATTATTGGGATTTATAAGTTTATAAATTCTGTTCCATAAACTCTTATTCAATAATATATTCCTTCTGCGTTGACATCTATTTCTTTTACCATTGGATTTATACGAGTATGTGCTAACTTCGATAATCTATTTCTCTGTATTCTTTCTACAAGTTTCTTTTTTCAGTTTTACTGATAAAACACGCACATCCTTCAATATATTTTTACCTCGATTTATTATCCTAGCATCTGTATTCCTTTGGAGAGACAATTTTCCAATTCGCAGCAGAGGTCTGGGACATTTCATCTGTGATGCTACCAAATGCTGTCTCCCTTTCATTCAAAAGCCACATCCGACGTTCGTATCTGGGTGTGATGTTCTGTATGCTATTCCTACTCGCAATTTCATCAGAGTAGTCACTAGTTTGGCAAACATACTGTTATACCTTTATACTGTGTATACATATACAGATGGGTTTATGCAGCTGTATCATTATTTGTAACGCGTTTCAGTTCCACCTGTTGCCCTGCTGTAGGGGTGGAACATCGAGGGTGTTGGAATTTAATGTAAAATGCCTATATCACGTAAGCTGTACGAGATCTGTGACTTAAATATAAGCCCTAATGACATATATGTATCCAAACAATTTTCGTTCGTGTGGCATACAGGCTTTCAACCCAGTGTGTGTGTGCGCATGCGTACGTGGCCCTATCCACGAAACCGCCAACAGATCATTAGGCGAGTCCTGTCAAAATTTGTAATAAATTCCAGATCGACTGTGAAATAAAATTTCTGACAAATTTAATACTCTCCAATTACGTGAACACAGTAAAACTCTTCAGCCCTGGGATCTCATACACAGCAGTCGCTTGACCCACTTCCTTCCGGTTACTTTATTTGCAGGTCTATTGGTACTGAAATTAAAGAAACTTGTTTCAGTCTTTCTCGTGACCTAACCAGACCCTCCGTAACAACTTCGAAGTAAACAAGTTTGTTGATCACCTGGGAGACTACGAGCTTCTATAGAAGAATATGCTGCGTGGAGTTGGTTGGTTGGTTGGTTGGTTGGTTGGTTAGTTTGTTTTTACTTAGTTGTTATCAATCGAAGGCAGGAAAATAATGGCGATACCATTTTGCAAGGATTCAGATATAGTCCTGGGAAGGTTGCTAAGAGATAACAATTTTGATTGCACTGCGGAAATATCTTCTTACGTTATTTCCTTTAGTATGTCCAGACGAACGTCGGAATTGCATCACCAAAAGACACCATCTTCTCCTTCCCAAACCTCCTCGGTATCTTTGCATCACATTCGACACTGCAGAATGTCTGCTCTGTTAATTGCCCCAAGAATCAGCCGACAATAATTCAGCGACTACTGCGGATTGTCCCAAGCCAAGGGAATCTTACTGTTAAGCACATACAGCCACTGCTTCAAGTACTCACTTTGTGGCATAGGCCTGTTGTTGGGCTAGGCGCTGCATGAAGTTGAGGTACTGTTGAAACAAGGTATTGAAGTCAACTGGAACATACCCTGCTCCCCCGTACGGACTATACGCCCCGTAACCGTAGTTCGCGAAGTCGTTTGCTCCTGGGAATACGAAACCGCTTGGATTTCCACCGCTGTGTCCTGTGGACGAAAAAGGGATTAGTGTTATGTTCCAGAAAGCATTGATATGCAAATTGGCGCCACGGAGCAAAGCCTTCTTGGTAACACAAGAACTGCTCATGTTGTTAAGAAATTTCTCTCTCCTTTTATAGATATATAAAGTCTCAAATTTGCCCACAGAAGGACCCCGTCTTCGGTTGCTTCCGTCAAGCCAGCAACCTCATGCACAGTATCTTTAATACTCTTTGTAATGCTGTCCTGCTATCCATGTCTAGGTTTATACGAGTAATGTGGTCTTACCTTAACTTCTGATGATGTACTGTGTGATTCAAGGACCTATGGCCAAATTTCAGGAGGCTGTTGAAGAAATATTTAGGAGCAGAAAACATAAGAATATGTAAGATATGCTACAGTTTCAGAAGTACTGCGTTTCGAACTTTTAGTCCTCATTATGTCATATGTCGGGGTAGTGGAGTCTTCATACGGTCGAAACAAGTACTGCATTACTTCCGATCCAAGGCCCGCTTGGACGAGGAGGAGCACACCTTGTCAAGAAGAAGAGGCTTCTCTGGGCCCGCTCTTAGTGCCTGATAATCAGGTCCAGCCCTGGGTTGAGGGGTCAAGAACAGCGAGCACTCGTTGCTTACAATGGAAACAACCTCACTAAGGGATGTACAACCTGATACTGTCTCTGATTCTCCAGGTTATGGGTTTTGCAGCGGGCTGGTAACCCCTCCAAGTGAGAGTTAATTTACTCGTAATCCTTATATGGATAACATCACTAGTTTTGATTGCTTATATTCTTCTACACGCCCGCCAACATTAGAAGAAGAGCACGTGCTCGTATGCTGTAAAATCGATAGTTGCAAACGATTTCAATTTAATTTAACCATGTTCAGACATTATATTCTGGTGACACCGTATGAATTTGTAATAAAGAATTTAACATAATTTCAACGCCCTTCTTTTATTTTCAAGGAATTCTAATTTCAAACTAAGGCCGCGCCATAGCTCAAGCTGTTAGTCGCTGGCTTTCCACCGCGGCGGCCCGGGTTCGATCCCGGGTCTGGTCAAGTGGGATTTGTGGTGGACAGAGTGGCGCTGGGGCGGGTTTTCTCCGAGTACTTCGGTTTCCCCTGCCAATCTTCATTCCACCAAATTCTCCATCATCATAATCACCCGGGGGCAGGTACAATAGGCCAGTCAGTGGCCGCCGTACCGAGTGGACCCAGATGGACTCCACCCCCCACTAAGCGAATTAAAAAAGAATTCAAATTAGACAATCATAGCTTAAAGCGGTTAAGTCATATCAGAATCAGAATACAACAGTAGATTTTATTCCATATGGTCTCCTTTCTGAGGGGGGGGGGACCATGTAATTAAGAGTAACTAAGTTAATACTGTAGATTTAGAAAATATTCGAATATGTTACCTTATTGCACCTACTGTTCTTCGCTTTCAATTTCATTGCAGTTTTTTCCCCTGTTTTAAACCCCACTTCACTGTTCCACCGAGGTACATATTAAACTGTTCTGCTCACTCGTGTCTTGTTTATGTTCTGCTACTGTCTGATGCTCTGATGTGCGTGACACTGAGATTGTCTACAAACCAAGGCTGCCAACTTGTATAAAATTATAACATTAAAGAACTATAAAAAATATATGACTGGTGTTTACCATGGTTTATATGTACAGAGTTAACTTGTGCTTTCTCCTTTATTAAATATGGCACTGTTCCCAGGTAAAACCCACTTTCATGTCTCGCAGTTCTCCGTGTTCCCTGACTACAGCGACAAACACATCGCTGCGAACACTGAATATACCACATTTCACGGACGCACGAACTATTTTTCTTGTCTTCCGCCGAATAATAAATGTGCTATATCATGTAGATTCTAAAGGGTTCTGACGATGGTGGATGACACACAGAATTACTGGGGTTTTGGACTTTTTCCATCGTCCGGAATTCTAGGTAATAGAGGACACGACGTTTCGGAAACTGGATCACTTTCCTTCTTCAGATGAGAAAGGAAGACACCTACTCAGCTGGGCCCTTTAGCTTTAGAAAGAGCTAATCCAGTGGACATCCAGTGATTCTGTGTGCTATATCATGTATACAAATTTTAAAAAATGTGACTTTTTAATTTTTGAAAATTTGTTATATTAAACAGAGACGAAAATTAATCTGCCGACGAATTTTAATATAGATCCCCAACAGCAAATTCCATAAAATCGACTGTTTTCGGAGGCATGGACGTAGGAGGAAGGCACGAATATACCGGTATGTTTCATTCTGCGCACGCCCTGAAAATAACGAATAAGAATCCAAATAATTCTGAAGGATCGCGCATGAGTCAAAGGTGCCAGTAGGCCATTTGCTTCTCCTCGTAAGGTAAAAGGCTTGTAGCCCCCCACACAACCTCCAAAGCAAAACGGCCACTCATTCTGATCGTCTCCCACCGCCTTAAATCTTCGCAGCTCTCTTGCACGTCCGTCTTTTCACGATTCGCATGCCGTGGTAGTAACTGGTCAACGCAGTAACAGACACAACTTTCATTGTCAACTTCTAAGGAGCATTCATGTAAGGTCTGGATTGTCAGGCTGACGGAAGAACACGAGTGAACAGGACCCTGCTGAGAATACTTTGGACCTGAGAGAGAGGAAATAGCAGCAGAATTGAGAGCAGAGTAATGAGAAACTTAAAAAATTTCTGTTCTTCATCAAATAATACCGGGGATCTTAAACCAAAGAGGACGACTATGATGGGACACGTGACCGCAATGGAGAATTCATGCATGTTGGTAGCAAAATATGCCGTCTTAACAACCAACGAATATTCAAAGAAGATTCCGTATCATGGAGTATATTATCTACTCATTTTAGATACCATGAACTTTTTATTTTTGAAAATGTGAGTTCGATTACGAAAGAATTCTAGTACAGTTCCTGGCTTAATAATAAGTCCGTGCTTTTTAGAAAACACACCGATGAATGTCGACTGCTCTGACAGTGAAGCACAACAAAATCAGTTACAATTACCTCTGACTTCGGAACCGCAGGGTCTCCACACTTCCAAATTTTAACCAGCCCAGGAGGAAGTTCAAGTCGCATTTTCAATGGATCGGCATACTTAAAATAAACTAACCCAGTGACCAAATTTCTTGGAACTGGTGTAAACGTCATATCTTTGGAATCAAATGAAAATCATTTAATTTCCTGCCACCAACGACGCCAACACGGATGGTGTGTACAAGTTTCAAGTGAAAGCAACACTAGCGCCTCTCAGTGCGGGTATTGGAAACATGTGCTAAAATATATAGTTAAACTATCCGCTTCTCTCAATGAGGCCAATAACAAATGTCAACGTGACCAAGGGCAATCTCTGTTCAGTTTGACTTATGATGGCGACAATTGCAGCAAGATGTCTGAAATTTAGTGATAAATGATTAGTTTCCCATAAGTTATAAAAATTTGCTCACTTTTTTAATATTACAAATATGGTAACAATGTTATAAATTAGTATACTTCATAATGTAAGCAAGAGACTACTTTATAGGTACCGTACTGGGTATCATGTACTTCCGGTTTTGGAAACTTGAAAGTTACTGATTCATGCGTTTCCAGTTATGCAGGTGTCTTTACACATACAAGAGCATTTGAGTAAGTTAAGCGTTTTAAACATGTTCACAAACTTTTAAATAATATATATAGAGGATGAAATTATCGGGGCGTGTAAAACTCATAAAAATTACTTTCAAACCCTGAAGAAAGCAGACAGCTTGGGGGAACTGGTAGCATAGGGAATGATAATAATACATTCTAAAGGAATAATGTGACTGCGATCTGGATTCAACTGGCGCAGAATAGGTTCCAGTGTTAGGTCTTATAAACAGGGGAGAACATTTTGGCTACTTAAAGGCAGGGAATTTCTTGACTAACAGAGTAACTATCAGCTTCTCAAGAAGCTCCAGGTACGTCGGCCACTAGCGGGCCTCTTGTACAAGCTCCTGATGACGATGATGAGTGTGCAGCAATTGACTGAAAGAGAATTTGTAGGAGAAACCCGAAGTACTGGGAGGAAACCTGCCTCAGTGCCACTTTGTTCACCACAAATCCCAATTGACTTGGCCTAGGATGGAACCCAGGCCACCGCCTGAGCTATGGAACAATCCTGATGCTAGTTAGTTGTACAGAACTCGAACGAGCGCCGTGACGACCAATCACATCGACGCTGATGGATCGGTACGTTCACACTACTATACTACCTTGCACCCCGTCGAAACCGCTGTGGTACCCAGGGACGGACCCGGAACCGGAAGTTGAACCGGAACTGCTCGAGCTGGTTGCGAAAGATGCCGCGCCGGATGCAGATTTGGATGCTGCAGGGATGCCACGACGTCTCCGGACCACGAACCAGGGATGAGCAGTCTCGTCTACCGCAAATCTGCGAACTTCTAGAACAGAGTCAGTAGGGTAAACTAAACAAGACACAAATTACTGAGTTGTATGCAAAGTAAAGTATGCACTCTTCGTGCCTTTTGCAATATATGTAGAAGTGTGTTCAGAAAGCAGCTTCTAAAGTTGATGTGTGTAGCTCTGCAACAACAAATACACGCCTGCAATACTTGGACTACAAGACAGTGGTGTTCTAATGCAATTCAGATTTCACAGTTTCACATGCGTTATGCCATGTAATGAAAGAAAGAAATAGTAATAAACTATTTGCATTTCCTTTAAATTATTACGCTTCACTCATATCTAAAATTACTGCATAACGAAGAAGCTATGTTCTCAAATTATATATCCGAAATTGCTCGACTGTTTAGTGTAATTTGGTTTTAGGTACCTCTAATAAACGTATTTGAGGTTCTCACAGCGGTAGTAATGAAAACTGCCATCTTCTGGGATATAGCTCCGTGTAGTCCGCATATCAACGGACGTTTTGGAGGGACGTATCACCTCCATCTTCAGGGCCGAAAATCAGCCGAGCAGGAAACCACATGCTCGAACTGGTTTCTTGTTCGGCTGATTTTTGACTTTGAGGATTGAGGTGATATGTTCCTCCGAAACGTCTGCTCATATACGGACTACAGGGCGCTATATCCCAGAAGATGGCAGTTTTCATCTGTGCTAAAAGTTTTCGGTCGAAATTAAACCTAGTCATCACTGCTTCCATTTTAAAATTAATTGTAAATTGAACGTGCGATGTATTTATGTCTCTGAATAATATGTACATAGAACAAAGAACTTTATGCCAAACAGTAGCTACAAATCTCATTAACATATAAACCATACGGGAAGTAGGTTTCGATATGTTGAATGCACAAGTATGAAAAAGTGAGACCTATTTGTAAAACAATTTTTGGTTCTGTGACATCTATAGTAGGATCAATTTTGCTATATTTGCGATAAATGAACGTCAAGGCCAATGAAATACGCAAAATCGAAAAACAGGCATTAGCAAATGTATGTCCCTCATAGTGGAGAACATGGTTTAATTCTCTGCTTTAATGGGGAAACATTTGTCCTCCATATTGGAGAGCACGTCATCGCTCCATGCCCATTTTAGTGCAACAGGCTCTGTTTCCATGGTTTAACGCACTGAGACTTAGCACACAGGAAAAGCAAGCTTTCTCCGCAGGGGCCTCTGCTGACACCAGGCAGCAGATGAATCAAGTGTCGATAAACAGTAATGTTCAACTGGGCACACTTTTCCTATAGACTTGCAATGCCACTAAACGCTGTTCGCTGATGGGAAGACAGTATACATTATAAACCCCAGATAATGATGGTGGAAGTCCTCTATCAACAGAGCTTCGTACATGAAACTATGTCGGTTCGTGGTGAACGGAAAATTAGAACCTGCGGAGATAATTATAAGTTATTTTAACTTTCGTGATCATTTCAAACAACATTATTCTGGAAAATCCCACTTTAAAGAGTTCATTGAATATAATAATAATTAAATTAAATTTCAATGAAATAAAATAACTCAATTAAATTTTTATTTATTTAAGTATTTATTTAATAGCAAAAGGCCAATTATCAAATAAGGAACACAAAAACAGACAGAAGAAAACACAAGGAAACTTAGAAAATAATAAAATTTAACAAGTGAAATCTTGCGGTGAGAGAGAAACATATATATACATAGTTCCATACTGAGTATAATCAAGAGTTTAATAAGAAGAAAGAGACATTATAAAATATTGTTAAAACAGTTCTGATTCCAAACATTTCAGCGTCACTGAGAACAACATTAGCAGCTGAAGCATAGCTAACAGATAATTTTGCTTGAAGAGCAAACACTGAACAATGGAAATTCTCTGATATACCGAAAAGAACCTCCAAAACCGATATCTGTTCGGTATGTCGGAGACTAATAATAATATTCATAATAATATTGAATCCGAAAATACCTAGATTTAGCTTTTCAACTAAAATGACAAGTAGAAACTGAAGAAACATAAAATTGTAACACCACACTTTGAAACTGAGCAGACTGGTACCAAGTTACCTCAGTGAAACGTTCGGTGTGCAGGCAGATGTACTTGAGACATGATAACGGTGTCAAATACCCGCTTCAAATCGGTATGATGGAAGGAAAAGGGCCCCCATAATGTCCAATAGCTGGACTTGTTACTACAGGCTATGATCCTCAGGGTTAGAGTTTCGTTTCGTCCAATAGCTGGACTTGTTACTACAGGCTATGATCCTCAGGGTTAGAGTTTCGTTTCGTCCAATAGCTGGACTTGTTACTACAGGCTATGATCCTCAGGGTTAGAGTTTCGTTTCGTCCAATAGCTGGACTTGTTACTACAGGCTATGATCCTCAGGGTTAGAGTTTTGTTTCGTCGCTTCGGATATTTCGGAGAGTCAATTGAAGATGTAAAGTAAAAAAACAAACGTAAAGCTACCCCTGTACCAGGCCGTGAAGGCCCATAGGGTTGTGATACGTTGAGGGTCCCACATTGTCTAGACAATCGGCTCAAAGATGGCGGTAAGGTTGTCAGCCTTACGCGCGGGCCGCGCTTTACTCCCCAAGAAAGTTATTTAATTAATTCCTGGTACTCTCTTAGAGGCTGAGTCAACCCCAGGGCCATAGTGCGGCCGGAAGGATTAGGTCAATTGAAAATAATCCAATGACCTCATCGGGACTTGAAGTCGCGACCTTCCGACTTTTAGCATGGAGGCTAATATTAAAATAATTCTTAAATAAATCGGACACGAAGAAGAGAATTTGATTCAAGTGACTTAGGATGTAGTCCACTGAGGAGATCTTGTGAACGTAGCAACGAACCTTCGGTTCCCTTGAAAGGCGGGGAATTTCTTTAACAATAGAGTGGCTCCCATACCTTCACAGAGTGATCTTGTCATTATGTAACTCAGTAGCTGTCTTTATGAGCGGTTATTCCCAAAACTAAAAACAGTTTTCCCCTGCATTTGTCCAACACTTACCGCAAATCTAGCCACGCTACTCTCGTGCAAATGAATGCAAAAGCGGACTCGAGTGCTAGGAACACGTTGCGTTCTCAACTCAATCCCATCCCGCCTTCCTCACCTCTCTGCTACCATGACTCGAAGTTGCCCAAGGTGATTTCTGTTCGCTCATTCCGTCTTCATTTGGAGAGACATGACGTAGTCCCTTGCAGCAGTGCAGAAGGCACGCTATCATCATATTCCGAAATCTTCACAATTGCTCCCGCCTTAAGTCCGAAAAAACAAGATCAGCGGAAAATCGCAGTGCAAATTCTCTGATAGTTTTTCGATTACCAACCATTTACAATAATTTCTGGAAATAACTGCTTTCAGAAAATTGCTTGGCGAGGTTTTAGTAAGCAACTAAAATTAATAATATTTATATAATTTAGCGACATTTCTGTTTGTAATTTCCATTGGTGCCAATTTCTATTGAGTTATATTTGAGAGATATAAACTAAAAGTTGCAAAACATTATGGTTTGAATGTTAAGACAGACATTACAGATGTATCATACAAATCGTAGAGGTGGGTTTGTCAGTCTTTATGCAAGTTGACACATGCCTAGATATCGAATATCATTAGTTGAATCCGTGAACCCTAGAGCTGTATAAAATCAAAGATTATCACATTTTCATTTTAAAATGTCCTGAGAATATACAGGGCGTTTTCACAACGAAATGCCCTAAATTAGCTCTTTTCTTAAGGTCCAAATTTTCCAGATTATCGCAATATAATGTGGGTAGCCTGAAAATTGAAATTTTATCGGATTCGTAAACATTTATTATAATTCAACATATTCATAAGCAGGCGTAAAATGTTAGTTAAAATTTTCGGATATCGACAGATATTTCGATCCTTCAAAGTCCGTGCTATGCAGAACACGTAACTGGCGAAGACGTCCTGTGCCGTCTTTTGAATGGAAATGCTCACACTGGCTGAAAGCCGGAGTAGTGGAACGAACTACGTTGCCATTGCTACGCAACGGCACGGCAAACACTTCTCCGCAGCAACCAATGCATACAAAACAGATAGCTGTTGGGCCATTGATTGACAACGCGGTGTTTTCTATGCGGTCGGTGCTGAAGTTATGTAACGAGGCCCCCAGCTGATTAATATAAATCTGGTGTTGAGATCCAGATGTGGCTTAACACCAAGGCTGACTGGCTGTCTGACCGTCGGTCGTAACGTAACATCGACTTCGAGTCAGGTTTAGTTTAGTAGAGTGAGAGTCGCAGTGGTCTGAAGGCTCCCAGAGCTGTCAGAGTGTAACGAAGAAGCAGTGTGCTGGCGAGGGCCAGTAGCAATTTAGCAGGCAGTCAGGCAGGCTTAGTTATTGTCGGTATGTGGTGGCCAGCTGGCAATGAATTAAGCAAGGAGGCGGAGCACATTGTTGAGAGCCGTTGCCAGGAAACACCTAGTGTAGGCATAGAAGACTGTAGTGTATGTGAAGTATCGATAGCGCTATAATTACTTATAGTTACGAGTTCTAAGAGTCCAACGAATCCAAGAACCGATGCAACCCCCGTATCTAGTCAATATATATATATATATATATATATATATATATATGTGTCTGGCTCTTATG